ACTTGAAAATCGACATTTGGGAAATCCTGGCTTTTGACCTGTTAAAAGTAAATGCCTAAAAAAGTATTTCTGCCTGGGGCTCATTGCATAACTTAAAAATGTCAGCCATTGTACATTTTTATAGGCTGATCCCCACCCCGAGTGGCACAGGTTTTTGGGAGGGGGTATGTGTGTGTGTGTCCTTTTTTTTTTTTTTTTTTTTTTTTTTTTTTATTTCTTCTCAAATCATCATCTGTAGATTGAAATCCTAAAATGCAAGAAATCCCAGTCTTCCCTGCTATTTAACCCATAGCTGGAGGAAGAAGAGAAGGATTCCTATTTTCCCCAGGAATATTTGTGTGCCAGTGAAGATACTTAGGTAGGATTAGAACTTGACTTGCCAGTTTCTCTTTATGAATCACTAACTGTACAGCCTCTTGCATGGATCCACTTCTTGAAGTCAAGAAAACATTTACCAAAGATTCTCTGGAAACTTATAACAAAAGTATTATTCAAGGAAAGCTATCAATTCAGTTGAATTCACAGCCAAAATCAAAACTGTAAAATTTTGAAAAGATTCATTAATGTTCCAAACATTAAGGCAAATGTGATTTTTTTTTTTTTTTTTTTTTGGTGTACTTGATGTGAACACAGAACATTCTTCAGGCTCTGAACAAAATTTGGAAAATGGCAAAACTTACAAAATATACCATTTTTAATATTTGAATCGATTTGAAGAATAGGAAATTCTTATTTGAAGAATAGTGAAGTTGTGAATTATGGGAATTCTCTTGCACATTACACTTTGTATGTTATATATCCAGATTGAATTATAAATGCATTCTTGCAATGCTCTCTTTCATTCCTTTATATGGTTTAACCTCAATTTAGAGGTGAATACAAAAATTGGAAACATTCTTTAAGTTGTTAAACAAACATTTCTCCCAAACTCTTTTCTACAGTTTTCCATAGAAATACTGTAAAAATTAGTTACAGTTGCATGAGAAGCATGGAGAAAATAAAGGATGCAACAATAAAAAAAAAAAAAAAAAAAAATTGTCTATGGAGAAAACGACTGTGGGAACAAAGACAGCTGAGAAAAACTGTAACTGCTGAGATGTGGTAAAGTGTCCATTAAAATGTAACTGATCTAATGACTTGTTTATATAGCAAAGGTGAGAATAAAAAATGGTTCTGAAAATTGCACATTGGGTCCACAGAAGGAACGTTTAAGTTGTGGTATTACAACCACAAAACATTGATCAAACTGGCAAAATACAGGAACAGCACACAAGATGTTGATTTTCTTAGTGCAGTTTAGATGTGGCATAAGACCGAAAGTGTGAGGTATCTGGTGAGGATTGAACTTGCAAGTCAGTCATAAATGATATAGCGAGACAAGCTTGCAAACCATTATATAAAGTCAGAATGCTCAAGACTTGCTAGTTATCTATGGGAAATAAAAGAAAAAAAATTCCTATTTTTGAAATCCTGTTTATTTTGTATCGAGAATGAAATGTGCAAGTTGTGTCAGGAGTAAAAATTGGCAATTATGAAATACCCTGATCAACATAAGTTGCTAAATGAAAGATCGACTTAATGATGGTGTGCAAACATGCTAGAAAGTTCCTCTGAACAAACTTAGAGCCAGGGTAGAAATGCTTATATTCATAATGCGTGTTTCCCCTCTCTCCAGATCATCAGCAACTGTTGTATTTATTAGTATAGCTACTTTTGCTGGTTCCCAGACCGCATGAATTTAAGCGAGCTACCAGGCTGGCATCTCGGTCCCACCCTTTCACTGTCAAAACAGTTAAATGTAACCGTCTCTTTTACTCAAATAGCTGCTTCTCTCACACTTCCTATCTGTGGAAATCCCTTACCTTTACTTGCTTCCCCAATGACTATAATCTTCAAATATTCAAGTGTAATGTCAATCGACATCTGACACCTTGAATTTGTTTCCTGTTCTTCTCTGTATCCTTTCCTCAAACACGCCTCTTTACTTTTGTTCTCAATCCTCTGTAACCCCTTGAGTGCTAGTGGCACTCAAGCTTTGCTTGGTGTGAATTGGTTTAATATATATATATATATATATATATATATAATAAATTAACTGATTTAAAATATGATTTTTTTTCGCTACACAGTAATAACCATGTTTCAAAAACTGAAGTTAAAACTTCAAATTTAATTATATAATTAAATTAAATGCATGATGAGTAGAAGATATAGGAAGGAAAAAATAAAGATGCTAATCTATTAGTTGATAAATGTCAAAGAAACTAACTTGGATTCTGTATCGGACATATTTTGTAAATGAGAGGCTCTCAAAATAGGCAGCATTTCTTGCATTTTAACATTTCGTTCATTTTCAAGTTCTTATAAAAATAGATGTATATAAGAGACACCTAATCTGTTTATATTTTTCTAATCTACAGTAAATGCCTAAACCAGGAATAACATAAGATAAAAACTGAACGTGGCCTGATGATACTTTATTTTTAGGGTGCAACTTGAGTTGCCTCAGTTTATTTATTTCTTTTTTATTCATTTAGCTTGCATTTTTTAGGCTCTACATTATATTGAGCACATTTAATTGCCACTTTTTATCATAGAAGAAGTTCACTATGTTTGTGTTTTGTTTTATATATATATATATATAAAAAAGTGTGTGCATGCATGCACATATACACACGGTGGGGGCTGAAAAGGTTTTTGGTCAAGACAAGAACTTTTCAACTCCCATGTGTAATAAAAGTTAACAGCACAGTGTTTATTGATTAAATGCATATTTTTATTAATGCCATCTTCCTTGAGAACATAAGAGATAATGACTCTCCACAGCCTCCTTTTTCTTTATTATTTATGAATTGCCATAACTTCTTGGGGAAAAGAGACTAGAATTGTTTCCTGTTGTCGTTCTCTTCATGGTTTTGAGTTGAGTAGTACTTCTTCTAGACTGGCTACCACCCAAGGCTAGGTAACTTTTTGTCTGTTTATCCCATAGCTGGGGCATGAAGAGATGGATTCCAGCTTTTCCCGACAGCATGACTATAAAAGTGAACAGAACTGGCCAGGCTGGAATTTAACAGTTCCACTTTCTTGTCAATTGATGTTTATACTAAGCATATATCCTAAGACTTTCATGATATTCATAATTGCATTTGGTTAATACTATTTTATATAAATGCCAAATTCTGGTTCACTATTGTTACTATGATAATGAATATGCCAAGTTTAAAGTTAGAAACATTTTATTGCAATTGAATTGCTGTAGCAATTCTCTCATTTTCATTGGATTTCATCTTTCTGTTCAGGCAAATTGGTTGTAGAGCTGGGTGGAATCCTTTCTGACAATGAGTTTACACACACACATCTGTCCTAATCTTTTTTTTTTTTTTTTCCTCTTACCAATGTATTAAAATGATCTCCAACTTGAGGCTGAAAGTAAGCCAATAGAACCAGTATGTATAATGTTAATGTCAAATATGTTTGTATCTTTTCTAAAAGAGCTTAGTGTGTATGTAGCATAAGTTTCTGAATAAACACGATGCAAGAATCCGTAAGTTCAGAACAGGGAAAGAAAAATTTATATTACATGCCAAGAAGACAGATCGGATCATGTCTGCCTAATTTATATTCTGCATATCTAGCTTTTCTGAAACAAGTTAGAGAGAAATTAATCTATTTTATTCATGAACTTAATTAATACATTTGATAAAAATTTGGTTTTTTATTCTGCAAAATTATATAGAAGTGAATGTTTTAGCCCGCTACTTCTTCCTTGTCTAGGGAGAGCTAAACATCATTGAGAAGAGGCTTTTTAACATTCTCTCTGTTATATTTCTACTTAATATAGGTGATTGTGGTTCTCCTTGTCTTCTTATTTTTAATACTCTCACCAATACTTGTGCTAGTTTTTGCTCCTATTTTACTTGTCAGGCTTTGGATAAGGAATTAAGCCTGAAAATGGAATAACTCCTGCTTGCTATGTGGAGATGTGGAATTGGCAAGCAGAATTTAAATTTCGGCTTAGTCTCCCCATTTGCTATTGCACTAATGCCCTTGGAAAAAGGCATGAACACATTTTTTTTTCTCCCAGCCACATGTAAATAGAAAGGTAGACTGAACTCACTAGCATTGGATAGCGGCCAGTGTAAGAAAAAAAAGCTCTGAATTCCAAACCATGGAGCATGCAATGAGAAACCACTCCATTTTTCCAAATAAATCCTGTCAATTCACAGATAAAGAGAAAATGTGTAGAGAGCCATTATTCCCTACATTATGAAGTGACACATTGGATAAAAAAAACACAATCTTCATCTAGACATTTTCTGAAAAAACCTTATTCCATGGAACTTTGAAAGTATTTTATTTGGAAAATAAATGTAAAATTTCAAATTTAATAAGATATTCTTTGTCAAAAAAAAAATCAATGTTCTGTAAATAATATATTCATTGTTGCTGTTTTTATTTTTCTTTCTTGGCTTTCCTCTCATCTGGCATCCCTCAGATTGAATTTCTCTTCTCTGATATGAAGTGGTATCAGAATGGCTCCAGATTTCCAAAGAGATGTACATCACTAACAATAAGTTATACCCCACCTACTGGTTCCATCTACACATAGTCTTCCTGCTGTATTTTTATGGTTAGTTATTGCAATGGTTCTACAATTTTTACAATAGTTGACAATGTGCTGGCATCAACTTTTTACGTGATAAGTATCATTTCCAGATGATTATTGAAGTAGACCCATTACCAGAAAAATGCCAGAAAATGTTTGGGTGTGAATGGGATCTCATCCATGAAGAAATAATATATGAAATATATTTACTGGAGTGCACTATTTTTTAAGGCAAAGTAGTTGAACTTTCAGATACTACCTTGTAGTCGGTTCTTGATGTTCAGACACTGTCCTAACTAAAAAAAAAAAAAATAAATAAAAAATAAGAAAAAAAAAAAAACCCTCATATAGAATATGTATTTATCTTTTTTTTCTTTCTTTTTTTTCTTTTCAGAGATGTTCATCTCAACCCAGATGTTTCCAAAGATGATGCTGTGAAAAGTCTGCGGAAACGTTTAGAAAGAGCCACCAAAGAACTTAAATTGCTGGCAGAGAAGAAAAGTTTAAATGTTTCTTCAG